AGGTGGGGAAGGGGGCCAGGATTCCAGGCAGAAGCTACGCCACGTGCAGGGACACAGCAGCGAGCTTGGGCACAGCCAGACTGGGGGGCAGAGAACACGTTGGCTTGGTTAGAACCAAGGGTGAGTCAGGGCATCGGAGAGCCACACACCGAAGCCACATTCACCAGGCTGGAGGATTCGGGCCTCCTCTTGAATCCGTGGTTCCCAAAGTATGGTCTTAGGAGTGCCCTAGAGCCTTTCCAGGCATTTCTGAGGCCAGAACTATTCTCATAACACTACTTTCGGAGCTGTCTTTTTCACTGTATTAATATTGGACTGATGGTGCAGAAGCAATCGTGGGTGAAACTGCTGGAACCTTCGCACAGATCAGGGCGGTGGCCCCAATGTAAACCAGCAGCCATTGTGTTCTTCCCACTCACAGCAACAAAAAATGCAGTAAAAGGGTTAATTTCATAAAGCCGGGATCCTTGAGATACATCTTTTTAAATACTCTGTATGAAGAAATATGACATGTACGTAATATACTTTTACTGCAAGCCGAACTCTGCTGGTTCTCTTGAGAAGCACTCTTGTGACTGAATTGCAAGCTGTACTAGTCACTTTTTTTAAGGAACACCATTTTAATTTGAAAGAACACCTGACATGCAAAACTCTTCAGACTTAGGTATTAGGCAGACGTTTTCTCAAAAATGAATGAAGTGAGCTTGTCACTTCAAAAACAGCATCCGTATTTGTTGCTAATGATAAAATTCGAGCTTTTGAACGAAAATTAGAATTTTGGAATCCTCGGATGCACTCTCTAGAGCCTGAGAGCTTCCCAGGACTTAAAGACTTTTCTCATGAGACCCGGAATATGTTAGCAAGTGTGGTTTTTTGATATTGCACGAGGAAATGTGTCAACATTTGGAAGATATGCACAATTCACTAGCCCAATATTTTCCAGTGACCAATGCTTGACGTTACGAAATTCAGAAAGCAAGATGGGCCAGTGAAAGGTTCAGTGACGGGGCTCCAGATTCCACACAGCCACTAACCTTTAAGAAACTGCCGCTTGTCGTATTTTAGTGTAGTTGCAAAGTGTCCATAATTGGCTGAAAAGGCTATTAAAATACTCCTTCCTTTTCTCAGTACGCGTCAGTATGAGGCAGCGTTTTCCTCGTATACTTCAGCTGAAACAGCACATCACAACAGATTGCCTGCAGAGGCAGGTACGAGGATCCGGCTGTCTTCTGTTAAGCCAGGCATTAAAGAGATTTGCAAAAATTTTTAAAATGTCACTCTTCCCACTAATTTTTTTTTTTAGAAAATAGTTTAGTTTTCCTAAAAGTCTGTTTTATTTCTTAACGTGTCATGGGTTTGTTGTTTTTAAAGGAATTAACACGTACTTGAAACATTTCTCCGTTTAAATTCTAACAGTAAATATTAATAGCTCTAACCCCCATAATCAAAGCCTTTTTGGGATCTTCACTTCAAGTTTTAAGTGTGAAAGAGTCCTGGGACCAGGAAGTTTGACAGCTGCCACCCTAGCCCCTTGGGAGCCAGGCGGGCATCCTGGGCAGGATGTGGGTGTGCAAGGGGCTGGCCTCCCCTGGACACGAGCCAGGGCAGCTGGGACCCGCCCCGTTGGCAGGGCTTCGAGACCCAGGATCTGGAGTCCCAGCTCAGCCACTTGTGAGCCGTGGGCGGTCACAGGCCTCCACGGCCTCAGGTGCCCCTTCGTTTACCGTAATGCCACCAGCGCAGGGGAATTGCAAGCCTCTTTTCTGATAACGCGTGTGAAAAAGTGCTTTATAAGTTGTGAGACACTTGACAGATATTTATTTTTGTGGTTATTAGGTCTGGAGCCAGTGCTTAGCTGTCTCGGATGCTTTTCTCAGACCCCAGAAAACCTGTCCCGTGGGTGGGAGACGGCGTTAGGTGGCCAGCTCCCCTTCCGGCCTGACCCCCAATCTCCCCCACACACCCCCCCACCCCCGCCTCCTGGAGCTGAGGCAGGGGCTGCGCTGAAACAGGTGCCAGAGGGAGGGGAGGCTACTGGGCTGCCCGTCACTCAGCCTGGCTCTGGGAACTTTGGGGAGAGAAGCCAGGAGGCAAAACTCGTGCACGCTTCTGTGCCCGCCCACCTACCCTCCGCCTGCCTGCTGCAGGGCCCGGAGCCACCGCTGGGAGAGGAAGTGCAGTCGGTTACCAATCGGGTTATTTTCATAACGGCTGTCTCAGCTGGGGGGAGGCGGGTGGCGAGGGGGAGGGGGCAGATGAGCAGCCACAGCCGCTCGCTCTCCAAACTAGGACTTGCAAGCCCGAGGCCGGCAGCCTGGAGCTGGAGCCAGAGCCGGGGCTCGCCTGCCCACGGGGACCCAGGCCCCCACCTGCTCGCCCACCTCCTGCCTGCCACCCTGCCTTCCAGATCAGGTCACAGGGGGCACCCACAATCCTTCCTTGCATTCTGCTTCCTCCCTGCTCTCTGTGTCTGGGGGTGGTCTGGGAAGGGGTGGGTCAGGGTGGGCTCAGGCACCATCATCCCAAGATGAGGTTCCTGAAGCTGATGGAAAGGTCCAGGGGAAGGGAATGTCGGGCTTTGGCCCCTGAGCCAGGGAGCCAACACTACTGGCCTGTCACCTCTCTGACCGTGCAGCCCTGGTCCCACTACTCCCCGCTGTGCATTTCTGTTTGTTTTGTTTTGTTTTGTTTGTGGCAGGATCCCCTTGGTGAGTAGAGACCTTGGGGAAGGTGGGATCCTGCCTCGCCAGTCCCTGTCACCTTCCCTCCGACCTGGGGGCTGTGGGAGCAGAGCAGCCGGAGGTGGCTTCTGCCTGGCAGTCTGCTGGGGTCAGCTCCCTGCCCTTGCTCTGGGGCTGCTGGAAGAGGGGCCACCGTGCACCATTCCCAGCCTGCACACAGGGGAAAGGCATGTATGGGCCCTGCCCACAGCACGGAATGGGTGCTCTGGCTGAATCCCACAGGGTGTCCTGGGCGAGCACCTAAGGAGGCAGAGGAGTCGCTGGGGGTCAGGCGTGGTATCGGGGCAGAGGGCATTCCTCACAGCTGAGCAGACACCCAGGTGGCTCCGGCTGCCAGGCTCTCTTCCTCATGTGGTGGGTGGTGGCCACCCTGGGTACTCCTGCTTCCCTTTCTGGGTTCCCACCCCCACCGCAGGCAGAGACGAACGCAGGAGGCGGCACAATCCACATGCCCTGGTGTCTGCCGTGAGCAGAGGCCATGCCAGGCCCCCACGCTCTGCCAGGTGTCGTATTGTTAGGTACTTTATATTGCCATCTCATCAGAGCGGCCTATGCCAGCCTTCTGAGCTAGTGGTACCGTTCCCATTCTGCAGATGAGGACATTGAAAGGTCAGTTGATCAGCCCAGGAGAGCACTGGCAGCTGCAGGGTTCCAAAGCCTTTGCACTTTTCCACTTGCAGCAGCCCCAGCGGGTGAGATGTGCTGGGCTAGGTGGCCGGGTCCTTCTAGTCGGGCACTTGGGCCCGCTCGCCCACACTGGCGGCTGCCTGAGCTCAGCTGTCCTTCAAGGGCGCGTGGCCAGACGCCACCATGCGTGCCTCTCCTGTACATCCTTTGTCCTTCTCAGCCCCCAACAGCCAGCTGGAGGTTGATGGGGCCCCTGAGTCCTTTCCTATACTGTCCCCTTTGGACGTGACAGGCTTCCCCCAGGCCTCCCACCCGGAGGCTGAGGGGTAGCCATTTTGCTCTGCTGTTGGTGTCAGAAGCCTGTGGGGCCTCCTCCAGTGACCTTTACACATACTCTGTGGTGTGCCGAAGGTGACAGCGTGAGGTGAGAAGAAGCTGCTGCTCAGAGCTGGGCTGTGGGAAAAGGCTCCCGGCCCAAGCAGGGGACAGGCTGGGACAGGCCGGAAGCCAGCCCGGGCTTCCGACCAGACCCAGGAGAAGCCTCGGCAGAGATAGGAAGTCAGGAGTCAGGCTCTTGCTGACCAGAGGACAGAGGTTGCTATGGAGACCAGAGGAACAGGAAGCATGGGGCCAGGGGAAGGGGCGTGGGAGCACAGAGGCGTGGGTGCCTGGCAGGAGAGCTTGTCATAAAGGTCAGATCAGCCAGTCTGACAGCCTCCTCGAACAAATAAGGAAACTGAGGCCTGTGAGGGGACAGCTTTGCACATGGTCACACAACCCTGGCCTGGCCTGCCTTCCTGCTCGGACTGACCGCACCATCAGGCAGCCGAGGAGACTCCCGATAGATGTGGACCTGGCTGCCTGGTGGCGTGGGGCCAGAGCACTGTGGGAGCACCTGTAAGCGGCCCCCGTGTTGTGAGGCAGGAGGTGTTGGCCACCTCTTCCTCCTGGCCCTTCTTGTCAGTGTGGGTCTGGACCAGCAGACAGGGCCCAGCCGTCACCACCACCCGCTGAGCGCCTGCAGCACCCCCCCCCCCCACATCCCACTGACTGTGGCGTTTTGTTTTCTGGGTGACACTAGCATCAGGCGGTGTGTCCGGGTGACTAATCTCCTCCAGGCTGGGCAGCTGTCACAGGGCAGCCTGACTAGACGGGCGGGGAAAGCGGACACCCTGGGGGAGTGCTGGTAGGTTGGTGCCCTGGCAGCAGGGGCCAGCTGGGCCTTCAGGCTCGTCTTCTGGGTGCAGGGCAGACCTGGGTTCAGGTCCCCGTTCTGGCACTAACCGGCCATGTGGCCTTGAGCACGTTCCTGCCCCTCTTCAAGCCTCAGTTTCCTCGTCTCTCTGGTGGAGCCGTGCTTCCTGCCTGCCCTGCAGGGTTGTGGTAGGATCAGACATGATGATGAATGGAAGTGCTTAGCCCAGGGCCTGTCCCACAGGAGGTGGTCAGTCAATGTGACCGGGGGCTGGCCTGCTGGAGCAGCGGTGAAATGCACACATTCTGCTTTTGGCAGCCCAGGGTTCGCCAGTTTTGATCCTGGGTGCGGACATGGCACCACTTGGTACGCCACGCTGTGGTAGGCGTCCCACGTATAAAGTGAAGGAAGATGGGCATGGATGTTAGCTCAGGGCCAGTCTTCCTCGGAAAAAAGAGGAGGATTGCCAACAGTTAGCTCAGGGCTAATCTTCCTCAAAAAAAAAAAAAAAAATGTGACCCTTACTGTTCCTGTTAGGGTTCCCGTCTCTACCCCATCCCCAGCCTCGTGGCCCAGGAGGAAATACCCTACTCTTCTCTGTATCTTTCCAGATAGACTTGGGGTCCAACCTTGGCTCTACCCTGACTAGCTGTGGCCTTGGGGCAAGCTACCTCTTTGCGCCTCAGTTCCCCTGCAGGAACGTGGCCTGATGCAGTGCTGTCCTTCAGGCTTGCTGTGCTTTATAAAGTGGCAGATGTATCTGAGGAGGCTTACACGGTGTGTGACACATGCGAGCACTCGGTAATGTGAGCTGTGACGATGTCGATGTTAGGAGGAAGCCGAAGGCCCTCTGCCCACAGAGCTGCCTCCTGCCCGCCTCCCTGTCGCCTGCAGGGGATGAGGACTGTAACAGCCAGGGCACAGGAGCCGGGCAGTCCTGGACGCTGCCTCCCCAGGCCCGGCTGCCTCCACCGCTCGCTGATCATAGGAGCTCAGACCCCTGGGCCCCCGTCTGCCTCCCCCTCAGGGCCCCTGCACCCACCCAGGGCTGCGGCCAGACGCTGCCTGCCCGGACCCACCCAATCAAAGAATGCGGTGGCTGGGTGGGTGGGTGGGCAGAGTAGGCGCAAGACATGCAGCCCTGCCTGAGTCCTCAAGCCCACCCTCTCCCACCATTTGTCCAGGGCTCCCACCCCCCGCCCCGCCTGACCACTGCCAGGCCCTCTGCAGGCAGAAGAGCTTCTGTCAGCCCCAGTCAATGTCTCATGGCCGTGATGGGCCCCCCTCTGGCTGCCAGGGCCCGGGAGAGCCCCTGATGGCAGGACACAGGCATCCCCAGACACTCTGGCGGCCTCGCCCCCCGAAGCGTATCTGGCTTCCTGCCCTTCCCCCACGGTTAGGGAGAGGCAAGGGTGCAGGTGACCCCAGCGGCCTGTGAAGAAGGGGTGCAGGGGTAGGTGAGCGGGTGAAGGAGGCGGAGCACGTGTTCAGAACAGGTCAAGGGAGGGCGGCTGGAGCGAGGATGGTCAGCAAGGGTCCCGCCTCCCTGCAGGAGGGAGCTCTGGGCAGCTCAGGGTTTGGGCCTTGGAGAGTTGGAGCTGCTGCATTGGCCCTAAGGACAAGGTGCAGTTCACGGGCTCCCTCAGCGACAGAGCTGGGAAGGTTTTCAGACGTCGCCCATTGTCACACGTGGGAAGTCTGTAATCTGCCTGTGCAGACCAGTCTACTTCTAGAAAAGTCCTTACCGTCAGCCCCTCGGATACGGACATGCACACCCCCCCCCCTCCAGAATCCAGAAGGCTGTTCTCTCGGCTCTGGCCTCTTGCGCTTCCATACGAAGTCCCCTGGGTGAAGATGGGTGGCTGCTCCGCTGCCTCTCCGGCTCTCTCTCGGAGGGCCTCCTTTCCCCAGGGTCCTTTGTCCCTCGGTCAGGTGTCAGCCTCTCCAGTTCCACAGGCCACTCAGCCTGACCCAGGCCTGGGGCTGAGAGAGGCTGGCTCCTCCCAGGTCTGAGTTGCTTTTCAGAGAGCCTTGTTTACGCCATGTCCCAGGAGGGGACACCTAACCTGAACCTGCTCCGTGTTGGTGGCAAAGCAAAATCCCGCCGAGCAGGAAAGCCTTGCTCTCGGCTGACAGTCTATCCAGACCGCCTCCGGACTGGAACCCAGGCCTCCGGACTTCCAGCTTCCCTTTTCTTTCCCATCAGCTTCAGGGAGCGCAGCCGAAGCCGTGTGGGCCGGGCCTCTGGGTTATGGTGCCTGGACAGGGGAGCCCCCTCCTCTGCCTTACTCCTCGGGCAGCCTAGGGGTATAAGTTGGGAGGGCGCCAGTGCTTCCCAAAGCGGGAAGTGTGCGCTCCCTGGTACCCTCGAACACCCCATTTACAGAGGTCAGAGGCCATCATCCTCCCTCCCAAGCGTCCCCTCCCTGCTCAAAGGGCAGAGGCTGTGATGGGCTCCTGGGCACAGGATGGGCCATGGCCTGGCTCCTGATGCTCCCGGTCTCTGTGCCCAACAGCCACCTGCTGCCCCTGCCATGGAGACCTTCTTTAGGAGACACTTCCAGCGGAAGGTGCCAGGCCCTGGAGAGGGGCAGCGGCGGCCCGGTGGTGTGGGGCTGCCCACGGGCAAGGCCCGACGCCGCTCCCCTGCCGGCCAGGCCTCATCCTCCCTGGCACAGCGGCGCCGCTCCAGCGGCCAGCTCCAGGGCTGCCTCCCGGTCTGCGGGGTGGGGGCCCAGGGCACCCGCCGCCGGCGCTCCAGCACCGCACCCCCCTCCTGCAACCCCCGCTTCCTCGTGGACGAGGTGCCCACCGCACAGCCTGCCACTGGTGGGGCCCGGCTTCTGGGCGCACCCCTGCTGTTGGCCGGGCTTGTGGGCATGAACGAGGAGGAGGAGGGGGAGAGGGTCCAGAAGGACATGACAGTTGCGGCATTGAGTGCCACCCAGCCAGGTGCCGAGAGCCCAGGGCGCCCCCCGCCCCAGGCCGCCCGGGCCCTGCTGCCTGTGCCACGGTGCCTGCGCCGGCGCCGCACCTCCTCCCACCTGCTCCCTGCGGACGTGGTGTACGACTGTGCCCGCTGGGGCCTGCACGGTTACTACAGCTGCCTCAGCCAGCAGCGGCCCGGGGGCCAGCACCCTGGTCCCATGATGCCCGCCCGTGTGCGCCCGCTCTCCCGCAGGCGCCAGGTAGCCCTACGGCGCAAGTCAGCCGGACCCCAGGCCTGGAGCGCCCTGCTTGCGTAGGTATAGCTGCGGCCTCCAGGGGGGCTGGCATGGAGCAGGGACTTCGAGGCTCTGCCTGGCCTGCAGGCATCCCGCTTGGCAGCAGCTCTGGGCAGGGCCCAGAAGCCAGCGTGCCCTAGAAGGGTCGTGAGGAGGGCAGAGCCTCTTACAGGGGTCCTCTCAGGGTCTGGCTGCCATGGGGGTCCTCCACCCTCCCTGCTGTGTCCCTGCCTGGCCCTTGGGTCGAGGTCACAGTGAGGGCAGAGATCCCAGGTGAGGGGGGATGAGCAGAGTCGCCAAGTGCTCAGCTGGCCTCAGCTGTCTCCTTTTCTGTAGGAAAGCCATCACCAAGTCGGGCCTTCAGCACCTGGCCCCCCCTCCTCCCACTCCCGGGGCCCCGTGCAGCGAGCCAGAGCGGCAGATCCGGAGCACTGTGGACTGGAGCGTGAGTGGCGGGGTGCTGGGAGGGGCGGAGGGGTACCAGCCCCCTTGGGGCTCTGGGAGCAGTTGCGGACGGAGGTACCGTGGGCAGCTGCGAGCGGAGCCCATGGGCCTGTGGGATTGTGGTACACCTCCTGGGGTGGCCACATTTGAGCCGAGCCCTAAAGAGTAGGGACAGTGGGGAAAACAGGATGGAGCAAAGTGGATGGTGGTGGCTGGAGCCGGGTTGTCTTGGGAGAGAGAGGGTTGGCGGGGCAGGGCACAGGTGACTGATGAGCCAGGTGGCAGGCGTTCACTGAGCGTGTTCGTCCCATGGTCTAGGAGTCGGCGACATATGGGGAGCACATCTGGTTCGAGACCAACGTGTCGGGGGACTTCTGCTATGTTGGGGAGCAGTACTGTGTAGCTAAGATGCTGGTGAGTGAGCTGTGTGCGGCATGCTGCCCCCTGGTGGTAGAGCCGGGTCTAGATGCCTGTAGGCCAACCCCTGCTAGCTGGACCGGTGCAGCCCTTCCTGGGGAAGGTGGGAACCAGGCTCTTGCCTGATTGCCCCTGCTGTGGGCTGCCCCCAAGGATGGCAAGGAATGGGAGCTGTGTCCGGATGTCAGGAGCCAAGAGTAGGGGTTCCCGGGGCACAGGGAGGGCCGCTCTGCTGGGGCAGATGTGAGGCTTTCTCAGTCTGCCCTGGAGCAGCATCCTGGATGGAGGCACCTGGTGCCTCAGGGGCCTGCTCTTCCTTTGCTGCAGCAGAAATCGGTGTCCCGGAGAAAGTGTGCAGCCTGCAAGATCGTGGTGCACACCCCCTGCATCGCTCAGCTGGAGAAGGTGAGTGTGGTTCTCAGCCTTTCCCACCCCGCCCCTTGGGCTGCTGAAGCCCCCTCAGCACTCCCGCATGCCTGCACACGCACATTCATGTTCCATAAGAATCGCCTGCCAGGGGCACCCCGGTGTGCATGGTGGTGAAGAGCCAGGGACCCTGTGTTTGAATCTGGCTCCCCCTTCATTAGCTGCTCTATCCCCACTGCCTGGAACAAGCCTGGCACAGAGGGGGGCTCACTGACTATTAGTCAATGGGATGAATTAATGAATGATGGCCGTGACACCATTTTACTAGTCTCCAAACTAAGAAGGGACCATTGCCTTGCTGAAGCTCCATAACTCAGCCGTGGCTGGGCCGGTCCTGTGTAACCCCAAAGCCTGGCTCTGTCCCCAGCACACTGCCACTTAGAGATGCTTCCCCAAGGACCGTTGTCCACAGTGTGTCTGCAGCTGGAAGCATGTCTAGGCCTGTGCTTCCGGACGGACGTAGCAGAAATACTGGGCGGGGGGTCCAGGCAGAGCGTGGGAGGGCTGCCGTGGCCAATCAGGGCTCCCCAGGCAGCAGAAACACAGACCGACACCCGGGAGAGCCTACAGGACTAGGAATGGCACGAGCCAGGCTAACATGGGCTTCCTCCCCAGCCACCGCCGCGTAGAGAGAGGCTTTCCTACAGCCTTGCTGAAGCCGAAGCAGGGACAGTTAGGGAAAGAGAAACACGGGCAGCCCCAGCATTGCACACCTGTCACCCCCCCTCCCCCAGGAGAAAGTCAAACCAGGGTTCCACAAATTAGCTAAAGGTCTCCAGGGACCAGTCAGCACAGGTGTGCCAGCAAGGACTGGGGTGCCAGCGTGTGCCTGGCTGAGCGTGCTGGAGGTCGAGGGAAGATACAGGAGGAGTAAATTGGGGTGCTGTTCTAGCACAGGAGATGGCCGGAAAGGCCCAGCCTCCGCATCCCAGGATACTGGGCAGAGGAAGGAAGGACTCCTTCTGGCTGGTGGAGAGGGGGCAGGGATGCAGCAGGGCCTCTGAGAGGAGGCGTCTCACGTTCTCAGGGCTCCCAGGATGAGCTGGGGCTATCCCTACCTTGTGACAATGACTCTGAGTGACCCTTGCCCCCAGTGGGTGGCCTTACGCCTGATCCTGGAGGGAAGTTCTGACATCTTGCTGGTCTTGCGTGTTTTACAGATCAACTTCCGCTGTAAGCCGTCCTTCCGTGAGTCGGGCTCCAGGAACATCCGTGAGGTAAGTGCCCAGCATGGTCAGGGGCAAGGAGGCCCTGAGTTTCCAGAGTGGACCTCTCGGGAGTGTCTCCAGAGCGCCAGCAGGGGGCACTCCTTCCAGGCTGCTCTGGGGCCCGGGGAGGTGTGAGGGATGGGGCTCTGAGAAGGTTTCCAAGGGAAAGCCTAGCTGTCCCGGCCTGCAGGGGCTGGGGCACCCATGTCTCTGTCCCCCTGGGAGCCTTAGCCCTGTTCGGGGCCACAGAGCGTAGTCTGCAGCCCGTCTCACTGACGCGCAGGACCGCAGAGAGCTTCCTGCAGCACCCCATCATGGATATACTGAGGGGTGCAGGCCACTGAGCCTGTCCTCCACCCCTCCCTCCCATGATGCTTCCCTCCTCCACCAGCCAACCTTTGTGCGGCACCACTGGGTACACAGGCGGCGCCAGGATGGCAAGTGTCGGCACTGTGGGAAGGTAAGAGCCCCTGCCCACTGGACGCGAGCCCCGTGCTGTGCGTCCAGGGTGGCCTGTCCCTCACTGGCTGTGTCCCCAGAGTACAGAGTCCCAGGGCTCGCTCTCAGCCTGGCCGCAGCGCCCAGGCAGCTCCGAAACACCCTGGTCTCCGGCTGAGCAGGAGAGCAGGGAGCGCTTCCAGACTGCTTTGAGGTCGTGCAGGGGCCCTCTGAGAGTCACACACCGTACTCTTTCGCTGACACCACCGCTGCGTGCCGAGCGCCTGTGGGGCGCCGAGCGCTGAGCTGGGCAGGGGGCTCCTGCCCTCCTGGAGGAGGCTGGGGCTCCAAGGCGGACTCTGCAGGCCGTCTGCCCGAGCCCCGTCCGCAGGCGTTCTGTGCAGTAACGTGTGTCTGCTTCCTGTCCGTGTCCGGTGAGCAGAGGCTCCCAGAGGATTGGGGCCTGTCGCTCTCTCCTCCGTTTATCCTCAGCGCCCAGCACGGTGTCGACACGTAGTGGGCCCTCAGTAAATGTCTGTGGAAGGAGCCAGGGATGAACGTGACAGGCACTGTGAAGAAGGATAAAGTACTCTAAGAGCACACAGGGGCCTGGCGGGGCTGGGGTCGTGAAGGAGGGGAGCTGAGTCAGGCAGGCGTTAGCTGTGGACCTGCCCCCCCAACACTTTGCACTCAACTTCAGAGAGTCTGGGCCCCTTGCTAAAACTCCCTGCTCAAAGGGGTTTTTTTTTTTTTTGAAGATTAGCCCTGAGCTAACATCTGCTGCCAATCCTCTTCTTTTTGCTGAGGAAGACTGGCCCTGGGCTAATGTCCGTGCCCATCATCCTCTACTTTATATGTGGGACACCTACCACAGCATGGCTTGCCAAGCGATGCCATGTCCGTACCCGGGATCCGAACCAACGAACCCAAGACTGCCAAAGTGGAACATGCAAACTTAACCACTGCGTCACCGGGCCAGCCCCTCGAGGGGCTTATTTTATAGCTTCTTGAATTTAAAAAAATGTGCTCCGGGGGCCGGCCTGGTCACGTAGTGGTTAAGTTCGTGTGCTCTGCTTTGGCAGCCAAGGGTTTGCAGGTTCAGATCCCAGGTGTGGACCTACACAGCACTCATCAGGCCATGTTGTGGTGGTGTCCCACATACAAAATAGAGAAAGATTCGCACAGATGTTAGCTCAGGGCCAGTCTTCCTCACCAGAAAGAAAAAAAAATGTGCTTAGTTTCCCTGGGTAGAGAGAGGTTGGCACAGAAGAAGGGCTGGACTACTGCTCTGGGCCCGGTCCCTGGTGTCTAGCCACCCTGTCCACCCTAGGGCTTCCAGCAGAAGTTCACCTTCCACAGCAAGGAGATTGTGGCCATCAGTTGCTCCTGGTGCAAGCAAGCCGTGAGTTGTGCCCGCCCCGCCCCGCAGGCTGTCCCCTGTGCTGCACCGAGTTGGGGTCCCCAGGCCTCAGCTCAGCCCCCCTCAGCCACACCCCCTCTCTCCTCTAGTACCACAGCAAGGTATCCTGCTTCATGCTGCAGCAGATTGAGGAGCCGTGCTCCCTGGGGGTACATGCTGCTGTGGTCATCCCACCCACCTGGATCCTCCGGGCCCGCAGGCCCCAGGTGAGTCCTGCCTGCACCCTTGACACCACCCCCCACTTGGGGTCTGCCAGCCACCCCAGCCCACCCACCTTGTCACCAACACCCCTGCTTCCCTTGCAGAATACCCTCAAGGCGAGCAAGAAGAAAAAGAGAGCATCCTTCAAGAGGAAATCCAGCAAGAAAGGGCCCGAGGTTAGACCTGGGGCCAGGCAGGCAGCTGGACGGGGCAGGAGAGGGGCCTGTTTCTTGGAATCCTGAGCCCCTGAGCCGATGCTGCTGGCTCTGCCTCCTGTGGGTTATTCTGGGCTCTGGGGCCCGGAGGCGGGTGGGAGATCAGAGTTGCCTCTCTATGGCCAGGCCCATGGTAACGTCTGACCCGGAAGTGGTACATGAGGGGGCACTGCTGAGGATGGGGATAGGGTCCGCCAGGGCAGTCAAGAGCCTTACAGGCTCTCTGTCTCCAAGGAGGGCCGCTGGAGACCCTTCATCATCAGGCCCACCCCGTCCCCCCTCATGAAGCCCCTGCTGGTGTTTGTGAACCCCAAGAGTGGGGGTAACCAGGTAGGCACGCCTCCCCTCTCCACTGGGAGCCTTGGGGGAAGGGTAGGGTTACGCGCCCCCCAACCCCCAGCAGCTGTTCCCAGGTTCCATTGCAGGCCTCTGCCCCATCCCTCCTTCCCAGGGACCCTGAGAAAGTCTGATTCTGCCTCCACCCCTCGCTCCACAGCCGCATCCTTCTCCCCGCCTCAGCCCGCCACCCCTGACTGCCTCTTCTCTGTCCCTCTTGGCTCCTGGTCCCCCACAGGGCGCCAAGATCATCCAGTCCTTCCTCTGGTATCTCAATCCCCGACAAGTCTTTGACCTGAGCCAGGGAGGGCCCAAGGAGGCGTAAGTACTTGTCAAGGCTCTGTGGGGCCAGTGGCGGGGCTTGCCTGGCACCGGGGTACAGCACACCTACCCCGACCCTGTTCCTGTCTTCTGATCGCAGGCTGGAGATGTACCGCAAGGTGCACAACCTGCGGATCCTGGCGTGCGGGGGCGACGGCACGGTGAGTCCTCGTCCCTCTCTTGCCGATGGGCCTGAGCCTGGCCCCGCCGGCCTGACCTGGCCGCCTCTGCTCCGCTCCCTCCAGGTCGGCTGGATCCTCTCCACTCTGGACCAGCTCCGCCTAAAGCCGCCGCCGCCTGTCGCCATCCTGCCTCTGGGCACTGGCAACGACCTGGCCCGCACCCTCAACTGGGGTGGGGTAAGAGCCCACAGGAGGTGGGGTAGCCACGAGTGGGCCGTGCGGCTGGGCTGGCCTGTCCCCACGGAGGACTCAGTTCCTGCTTCCCCCTGCAGGGCTACACAGATGAGCCCGTGTCCAAGATCCTCTCCCACGTAGAGGAGGGGAACGTGGTGCAGCTGGACCGCTGGGACCTCCGCGCTGAGCCCAACCCCGAGGCGGGGCCTGAGGAGCGTGACGACGGTGCCACCGACCGGGTGGGTCAGCCAGGGCCAGGGTGGGGCAGCAGTCGAGGGGGCCTCTCCACGCCTTGGTCTCTGGGGTTCCCAGGAGCCCTGGGCTGGGCCCACTTTCCCACTTGCTGGCTCTGGGGCCTTGAGCGAGTCTCTTCATTTCTCCAGACTTGGCTTCTTCGTCTGGATGAAGCGGGTGATGGTCCTCAGCTCACAGGTGGTGTCATTCAGCCCCTCGGCACATGCACGTGTTCACTGAGTGCCTCCCACCTGCCAGGCCCTGTTCTAAGCGGCGAGCCACACACAGTCTCCGCTGTCCTGGGGCCCCTCCAGAATAGGGCACGCCGGGGAAGTAAAGCCAGGGAAGGCGTGCCAGCAGGGCAAGGGGCCCGAGAGGGCAGAGCCAGAGGCGGCAGGCAGGCTGGGGGAAGAGCTTTTCGTGGATCTTGTTAACTGTGGAAAGGCCTCTGGAAACACAGGGCTGAGCAGGCGAGGGGACCCATGGCTGGGCCCGAAACTCGGGGGCCCCTGTGGGGCCCAGCCCTCATGCTGGTACTTTGCCCTTCTTCCAGCTGCCCCTGGATGTCTTCAACAACTACTTCAGCCTGGGCTTTGATGCCCACGTCACCCTGGAGTTTCATGAGTCTCGAGGTGGGCAGCCCCTTGCTGAGAAGCCTTGGGCGGCTGGGGCGGGAGGGACACACGCATGTCTCCGGGAGGGTTGGACCTTTTCCCCCAGGAAAGGCATTCGTTCCCAGCCCTCCCTCCGCCACCCCAGCCTGGGAGGCCCCAGGAGACCCGGAATGACTGAATGTCCCCCATGTCTTGTCGCCACCCAGAGGCCAACCCAGAGAAATTCAACAGCCGCTTTCGGAACAAGATGTTTTATGCCGGGGTGAGTCTGGGCTCTGCCAGCACACCCCACACCCACCTGTTCTATCGCCCATGCCCCCTGCCCACCTGTGTCCACCAGGCCGCAGGACCCCTGCCGGGCAGTGATGGGAAAAGGCCCCTGTTGTCACATGGTGACGCCCTCTGTCTCCCACAGACAGCTTTCTCCGACTTCCTGATGGGCAGCTCCAAGGACTTAGCCAAGCATATCCGGGTGGTGGTGAGCACGGGGCCAAGCCAGCAGGCAGGTGGGTGGCCCCGCTGGGAGGCAGACGGCCTCCGGCGCATATGCCCTCAACACCCGCCCCTCTTCCTGCCTCCAGTGTGATGGAACTGACCTGACGCCCAAGATCCAGGACCTGAAACCCCAGTGCATCGTTTTCCTCAACATCCCCAGGTGAGGCGGGGAGGGCGATGTGTGGGCCCTGCTGTCCCTGTCCCGCAAGACTGTCCTCGGAAGCGCAGCCTCTTGCCCTCCCCTCCAGGTACTGCGCGGGCACCATGCCCTGGGGCCACCCTGGGGAGCACCACGACTTCGAGCCCCAGCGGCACGATGATGGCTACCTCGAAGTCATCGGCTTCACCATGACATCCCTGGTGAGTGGCTGGCATGGGGCCTGCCTGGAGCCCTGGCTCTGCTTTGTGGGGCTCCACCGGAGTCCCCACAGTGCCCAGGAGCATGGCCCCAAGGCAGGGTATCACCAAGCCCCCCTTCTCTGGCTGGGGGCTCACTGTCTTCTTCTCTATCTGACTTAAGAGTGACTGTCAACCTCTGTGTCTTGGAGGACTCTTTCATCAACCCCCTCTGACTGGGGTCTCACCCTCCTCCTCTCTCTGTCGGGGGTCTCCCCCTCCCTCCCCTCTCTGACTGGGGTCTCACCCTCCCTCTCTCTGTCTGGGGGGTCACTCTCCCTTTGTCTCAGGCCAGAGCACCCCTGGAACGAGCAGAGGTGGGGCGCCATCCACCCCGGCCCCTGACCTGAGCCTTCCTCGCCCCCAGGCAGCGCTGCAGGTTGGTGGGCATGGCGAGCGGCTGACGCAGTGCCGTGAGGTGGTGCTCACCACGTCCAAGGCTATCCCAGTGCAGGTGGACGGCGAGCCCTGCAAGCTCGCGGCCTCCCGCATTCGCATCGCCCTGCGCAACCAGGCCACCATGGTGCAGAAGGCCAAGCGGCGGAGCGCCGCCCCCCTGCACAGCGAGTACGCCCCTCCCATGCCCTGGGCCCGAGGCCAGACTCTGCCCCCTCTGAGCTTTGGTTTCCCCATCTGCAAAGCAGCTGACAGTCCCTCTATCCTGAGGCAGCTGGGAGGGGCCCTTGCTCAGTGCCAGCGGCCTGGCAGGGCCCTCACTGAGGCCCCCTATCTCCCTTGCCCTCAGTCAGCAGCCGGTGCCCGAGCAGCTGCGGATCCAGGTGAGCAGAGTCAGCATGCACGACTACGAGGCCCTGCATTACGACAAGGAGCAGCTCAAGGAGGCCTGTGAGTGGCGGGCAGGCCTGGGGGGGTCCTGAGGGCCGGGTGGTGGATGCAGCCGCTGATGGCCTGCTCTGTCCTCCAGCGGTGCCCCTGGGCACTGTAGTGGTCCCAGGAGACAGCGACCTCGAGCTCTGCCGGGCGCACATCGAGAGGCTCCAGCAGGTGAGGGGGGCCGGGAGCCTGCCCTGGGCCGCCCCAGCTGCTCGGGGGCTGCTCTCTGCCAGCCCCGGCCTGTGCTTCTCTCAACAGGAGCCCGAAGGTGCTGGAGCCGGGTCCCCAACGTGCCAGAAACTTTCCCCCAAGTGGTGCTTCCTCGATGGTGAGCGGCTCCTGGCTGTGTCCTGCCCCTCCCTCGGGATCCTGGGTTGGGGCGGCAGCAGCCCTGAGCCTAGACAAGGGCCTCCTCCACCCTCAGCCAGCTAACCGTCTCCCCACAGCCACCACTGCCAGCCGCTTCTACAGGATTGACCGGGCCCAGGTGAGCACCTCCGTCCTGCTCCCTCCACAGCTGGTCCTGGGGCACCTGTGTCACTCTCCTGGGAGCGCGCCCCTCTGCAGCCGGCTCGCCCCATCCTCATAGTCTGCAGTGTGTTCACACTGGTCCATATGCACGGACAGGGCATGGCCCTGCCCTCCAGGCTGGGTGCACAGGGATCGTGCTGGCAGGAGGAGGGAGCTGCCGTAGCCGGGAAAGGCTTGCGGGGTGGGCGGGAGAGCGTGAAGTACAGCTGCCACCCAGGGAGACACAGAAGGAAAGGCACTTCTGGCCGGGGCCAGGCCACTGGGGTGAAGGCTTATTGGCAGGGGGAAGGGGCTGGCAAGCTGCTGGGCCCAGTACACAGAGGTCAGGGGCCGGGCTTGGGTGGTGGGCCAGGAGAGGAGGGAGTGCAGAGGCGGGGGAAGGAGGGACTGGCAGGCCGCCCTGGCTGCCTGCTCACAGCAGACGCTTCTCCGGGCCTGCCGGCCTGGCTGCCCCTTCGCCCCCACCGGCAGGCCCTGACCCTCAGCCCTGACTCCCCACCCACAGGAACACCTCAACTATGTGACTGAGATCGCACAGGACGAGATTTATATCCTGGACCCAGAGCTGCTGGGGGCATCGGCCCGGCCGGACCTCCCAACCCCGACGTCCCCTCTCCCCACCTCCCCCTGCTCACCCACGCCCCGGTGAGTCCCCAGTCTCCTCCAGGCCCTGGCTCTAGACCCCACCTGCAAGCTGGCAGCTCCTGTCTTCCCTCCTTCAGCCCCAGCCCACCAGCCCCCCACCCCTGACTCACTGACAGCAAACCCAAGCGGCCAAAGCCCTCTGTCCCCAGGGAAGGCGTCACCATCCACCCTGCCCCGCTGGCCAAAGACCTAGGCTCCCTCCCTGACTTCTCTCCTTCCCCCCCGGCTCTAACCCTTCCTCCCCCAGCAGCTGAGCACACCACACCCCTGGCCTCCTGCTCTCCTACCCCCAGCCTCGAACCTTCTTTCCCAGCACCCTGCTGTCCTGTCCCCTCCCCATGTGCCCGGTCATCACACAGCCTGAGCCTGGCTGGCTGACCTCACCAGGCTCTGTGTTGGAGGCACTCAGTAAACTGTTGCAGGACTGTGGGGTGTCCCAAGTTGGGGCTGGGGAGGGCGACAGGCTGGCCTGGCTGCGGCCATGTCACATCTCCTGTTCTGTTCGCAGGTCACTGTCAGGGGATGCTGCAGCTCCTAAAGGTGAGGCCTCCCCCTGCACGGCCCCTCTTTCTCCCTGCTCCTCGGAGTGAGGCTCGTGGGCCGGGGGGGAGCCCCTCCACAGCCTCACCCAAACCTAACTGCGAGGCCCCGTTCTCTGTGAGCCCGGCCCTTGGCACACTGCCCGACAGGCCCGCCTCTGCGCGCTGGTGCATCCCGAGCGTGTGCATGCGCCGCACAAGCCCGGGCCTCCAGGGTAACGGGCAGGTGCTCCATGCAGGTGAAGAGCTGATCGAGGCCGCCAAGAGGAACGACTTCTGTAAGGTACCGGCGCCGGCCGGCCGGGCCTCTCCCCCGGGCAGCCCTCAGGCACTGACACAGGGCCCCTGGGTTGGGCCAAGAGCTGACCTGTTCAGGCGCTGTCATCTGTCATCGTCTGGCCCTCTGCAGGGCCTCCATGGTGACTGTCCCCTTCCACCTTGCCCCGTCCCCATCCAGCCACACTCAGTGTCCCTCTGTAGGAGAGTCCTAAAGGACCTGCAGGTCCCAGGGCTTGCCCGTCAGTGTTCCTGGGGAGCGTCTGGGGTGAGAGAAGCCATTATCTCTTGCCACTCCAGAGAGACCCCCCCAGAGGCCCTGGGGAGCAGAGTGTGGCAGCATACTAGTGTCAGGCCTGTAGCCTTGTGAACTGGGGCATTTCTGTGGGTGGAAGGAGGTGGCCCTGGGAGCCCCAGCCCCGCTCTGCCCCTGCCCTCAGCTCCAGGAGCTGCACCGAGCCGGGGGCGACCTCATGCACCGGGACGAACGGAGCCGCACGCTCCTGCACCATGCCGTCAGCACCGGCAGCAAGGACGTGGTCCGCTACCTGCTGGACCACGGTGAGCTGTGCCACAGGGGCGCCCCGGTGGGAGGGGGGAGGCTGCCAGGCCTCTCTGACCTCCCGCTCCCCTCTCCTCCAGCCCCTCCAGAAATCCTTGACGCCGTGGAGGAAAAGTGAGTATCTCGGCAGTGCAGGATGCTGGTTACCCTGGAAACCGCCCTGTCTTCATCTAGCCCCTCCCATCTGGTCCTCTCAGAGCCCATAGACCCATCCCAGCCACATCTCTTGTTCTCTGGGCCACCCCCCTTGCCCCAAGGCCCCAAACTTCCTTCCCTTTCCAATGGCCCTGGGGAGACCAGAGGGCCCAGAGGACTGGATGGGGTCCACAGCCAGTCCCTGTGCCCCCAGCGGGGAGACGTGTCTGCACCAGGCGGCAGCCCTGGGCCAGCGCACCATCTGCCACTACATCGTTGAGGCAGGGGCCTCTCTCATGAAGACAGACCAGCAGGTGAGCAGGCCACCAGGGCGGGCAGGGGCTCCACGGGGCACAGACCAACCCTCTTCCAAAGTTGGGCACTGTTGAGAGGGGCCATGGGAGAGGGCTGTCTCGGGGGGTGTGAAGCTGTCCTTCCGACACAGCGCAGAAGCTGAGCAACCCCAGCGAGCAGGGGTGGGGCAGCCTGGAGGGGAGAGCCCCTGCCCTCTCCTAGGCCTGAGCTGACGGCTGCTCCCCCTCCAGGGCGACACTCCCAGGCAGCGGGCTGAGAAGGCTCAGGACACCGAGCTGGCCGCCTACCTGGAGAACCGGCAGCACTACCAGATGATCCAGCGGGAGGACCAGGAGACGGCTGTGTAGCTGTGGGGCCCGCGAGGGCGGCAGGACGCCGGCCAGAGGACCGGGCCCTCCTGCCCGCCTCACTGCCACATTCCAGTTGGACTGCCACGGGGGGACCCAGGCCGCAGGGAAGGAGCCCCGGGCTGCCCCCTGAGGAGCCGCCAGACCTAGGGCTGGACTCTGAGGAGCTGGGGGGCTCACCTGTCCCCCTGAGGCCCCAGTCTGACTGCAGCCTCACAGGGGAACAGGAAACTGGACTGGGCTGGGCAGGCCTTTGGGGGCTGGGCCTGGGCCACCTCAGGGCGGCCCTTCCTGGGGTTTAGGGGGCAGGGTGGGGCACAGGGGCTTGAGGCCCTATTGGGGAGCCTGCAGGAAGAGGTTTCCTAAGCCCCCGGGGCCTTTCAGAGCCCCCTTTGAGGCTCTGGCCCTTTGTGCCCTGACCCCACCCTCCCCAGGGCCTCCTCCCGAAACGGAGCCGCTGCATTTGCCTGCCCACTGCCCTGCTTGGCACCTACCCCGTGACCCTCCCCATGTACCCAGTCATTGCAACGCCGACTGTGTGGCCTGGGGGTTGGGGTGGGCTCTCACGGTGACATGTTTACAGCTGGGTGTGACTCAGTAAAGTGGACTTTTTTCCTTTCTGCTTTTCTCTTTTTTTGAGGAGGAGGTCTTCCAGGAGCAGCGGGGTCCGCAGGGTTAGCCTTAGGGTGGGGGGCTGGACACCGTGACCCAGCTCCTTGTCGGGGCCCCTGTTCCCGACTAGGGGTGGGGTCCGCGGGCCTGCCCGGGACCTGACCTCGCCCGGTCCGGGGAGGAGCTGATTTCCTCCGGCTTCCCGCTTCCCGCTTCCCGCTGGGAGGATAACAATGAAAGTGAAAGAGCGGTGGGGCGGGAGCGGCCCGATCCTTCGGCCCCTCGGCCCCGTGGCCTCGGGCACGCCCCCTCCCCCAGGCCCTAGAAGCGTTCGCAATTTAGAGGAGCGGGCGCGGTGGGCCCCGGGGTCAGAGGGGGTGAGCATCTGCAGCCGCCGCCGGGCCGGGTCTGGAACTTCTCAGACGGCTCTTGTCAGCTCAAGTCTCACCAAATCCAGGCCCGCGGGCTCCGCTCCGCCACCGGCCCCCGCCCGCGCCCCCGCCCACCTGCGCTCCGGGAGCGGCGCCGCGCCCCCGCCCCCGCCCCCGCCCCGCGCGCTGGCCCTGGGGTGCCCGGCCCCAGGCTCCCCCCGCACTGAGCAGGGCGCGGGGAGGTGTGCATCAGCTTGCACACTTGTTGAAGCGACCCCAGGTGGGGGCCGGCGCTCCTGGCCCAGCAGTCACGGGGGCGCTAAGGGCCGCGCAGGCCCTGGGAGGTGGCACGGGGCCTTGACGGGGCGAAACAGCGCGGCCGGGGGTCGGGGGACGGAGCCGCGCACAGGCTGGGATGCGGGCCCCGCGCGGGGTCCTGTGACACACCCCGGGCTCTGCGCTCCCTCCCAGTCTCCCTCTGAAGCTCCGCCGCCGAGAAGGGGAGCTGGCGTCCAGTGGGGAAAGGGGACGGCCCCGGGGCGGGGGCAGAGGGCGGGGGCGGGAAGCTGGGGCCCCGGACTGGGGGTGCTAGGGCAGGACGGAGGCCTGGGGCCAGGAGACCCCGGGCTCGGGGGAGGGGGGCCAGGAGCGCCCGGTCTGGGGCGGACGGCGCCCGCAGGGCGAGGGTACGGGCACGCGCGGCGGGAAGCTGGGTGGAAGCGCGGGGGCGCGGGGCGGGCGCGGAGGCGGGGACGCCGGGGTCGGGGGCGGTGCGGGTTTGAGGGGAGGGGGCGGGGCGGGGCTTTCCTCCGGTTTGGGGGGAGGCGGGGAGGGGGCGGGGGCCCATGTGACCGGCTCAGACCGGTTCTGGAGACAAAAGGGGCCGCGGTGGCCGGAGCGGGACGGCCCCGGCGCGGGAGGGAGCGAAGCAGCGCGGGCAGCGAGCGAGTGAGCGCGCGGGGCCCCGGAGGGCGCACGGCGGCCTGGCCCCTCGCGCGCTCGGCCGCTGCCGCCCAGGGGCTGGAGGCTGGGTGGGGGTCTGAGCTGCGTCCTGGGATCCAGGCATCCCCCGGGGAGACGCCTCCCGGCCGTGCGCCCCGGCCCCTGAAGTCCTCCCGCCGCCGCCGCCGCCGTAGCGGCCCCACCCTTTGGGCCTGGAAAATGGGGAGAGGGGGTTGGGAGGTCCACGCCCGCGGCACCCAGTGGCGAAGGGGACGGGCGGGGGCTCTGACCCGTGCTCTCCCCCCAGGATGCAGCACCGAAGCTTCCTCCTCTTCGCCCTCCTCACCCTGTTGGCGCTCACCTCCGCGGTGGCCAAAAAGAAAGGTGATCTGCGGGGTGGGGGACAGAGGAGGGCTGGAGATGGGCAGGTGAGCCCGGCCACCTGGGTTCCGAGGCCGGGACCCCAGGAACGTGTCCCCGCGTGAGTCTCTCCGTGCCCCGGGTCCTGAACTGTGTTCCCCGTGCGTTGTAGACAAAGTGAAGAAGGGCGGCCCGGGGAGCGAGTGCGGGGAGTGGACCTGGGGGCCCTGCACCCCCAGCAGCAAGGACTGCGGCGTGGGTTTCCGCGAGGGGACCTGCGGGGCCCAGACTCAGCGCATCCGGTGCAGGGTGCCCTGCAACTGGAAGAAGGAGTTTGGAGGTGAGGTGGGGCGCAGGCGGAGGGCCCGCAAGGGGGGGCGCAGCCTCGCGGAACCCTGGGCGGACCTGTGGACGGAGGCCGCGGGTGCCCAGCTCTGACCCCGGGCGCTCTCCCGCCAGCTGACTGCAAGTACAAGTTTGAGAGCTGGGGGTCGTGTGATGGGGGCACGGGCACCAGAGCCCGCCAAGGCACCCTGAAGAAGGCACGGTACAATGCCCAGTGCCAGGAGACCATCCGCGTGACCAAGCCCTGCACCCCCAAGACCAAAGCTAAGGCCAAAGGTCAGCCACGGGGGGAGGGCGATCGCCGCCGGGGGCTGCCCCCACCTGTGAGGGGAATGGTTAAGCCTGAAGTTTGGGGCCCTGGCGAGTGACGTCTTGACGTGTCTGCACGGGGTTTCCCTGTCTTTAGCGATACCTTAGATGGGCGCGTACTGAAGGCAGCCCACCAAAGGTGCTCAGGGGATAGTCAATCTTCCGGCCCAAGCAAGGACAAAGTTACAGTGTCCTGAGGGAGCGTTTGGCTTAGGATCCAGGGACATTGTCCTGGAAGGGCTCGGCTTTGTCATCGCTCCAGCATTTGGTCAGCTTGGCCCTTCCCGCTATGGGAAGGACCTCACAGCCCTGCGTCCCCTGACCCTTAGCTGCTTCCTGACTCACCGCGGCCCAGAGAGGCCAACAGGGTGAATCTGCCCATTTCTCGGATGAGGAGGCTGAGGCTGTGGTCGAGGGCTGCTGGGACCAGGCGTGGAACTGGGAACTGGGAGGTTTTCTGGATCCCCAGGGGACGTTTGAAGCTGGGGACGTGGGGCAGGTCCAGCATCATCATGGCTGCCCTATCCCACCGCCTTCCAGGTCCGCTGATGGAGAACCACGAGGGGCAGAATTTTCTTCTCCCTCTAGTATGTCAGGAGGGTCTCTGCCAGGTCACCAGAAACCTGCTAATGCGGTATTTCTTGTTTTACAGCCAAGAAAGGGAAGGGAAAGGACTAGAGGCCAGCACTGGATGCCTGGGAGCCCCTGGCCTTACTGGGGGCCTGGCCCAGGCCCTGCCACCCGCAGGCCCACGATGTAACCCGCCAGTGCCTTTTGTCTGCTCTGCTCTGAGCTGTCGATCAGGCCCTGCTCTTCCCTCTCTCTCCCCCACCCCCACCCCCACCCAAGTGCCCAAGGTGGGGAGGGACAGGGATTCTGTGCAGCTTGAGCCCCCCCAAAGCGATGGATTCCCGCACCCCTTTTGTTCTTCCCCACAATGATGCCATTGCTAAGAAACAAAATAAACTGTCGTTTTTCTCCCAATAAAAGTTTTTCTTTTAATATATAAAAGCCCCTTCCCAGAGAGTTTGCCGTTGTGACTTGTTGGAGGTGGGAGAGTGTGGAAGAAAAAGAAGGCTGAGGGTCGGGCGTTCAGGGCGGTGGGGCTTGGCCGCCAGTGCTCCCTGGCGCTCATGGAAAAAGCAGAATGGTTACGAAAATCTCTTCCAGAGCCCCTTACTGACCCGTGAAAGAGTACCCCCCCCCCATCAGGTCCCCTAAGCCTTTCTGGGTCCTCTAGGGGCCACACCAGGGCTGAGGGAGAGGACCCTGAAGGTTCTAGAACTGACATTCCCACCTCAGGCAAAGGGCTTTCCGTCTAGCCCGCTGCCAATCAGCAAGGTTCCAGCCACTGGGAGAGTAGAGATGGGGCCGCTCTAAGGGCCGCCACCCCCCTGTCACTGGGTCAAGTCCACCCCTGTTCTCATCTGGTGACCCAGGCCTCGCTCACACTCTGCAGAGCCCAGCGGGGAACACTGCCCACCGCAGCGCCACCTTCCGTCTGTGTGACCCCCTTGGGGACAGGGGAGGGCTCTTCAGAATAAGGTGAATTATTCCCCCTCAGCTTGGGACCACGGTGCTAAGTGTGAATCTCGTCCTAAGTGTGAATCTCTTTGCTCCGAGCTGGCCCATCCGAGTATGACCTGCCGGGTGTGGGGGGCGTACCTCAGAGCCCTCTCTGCCTGGCCTCCAGCAAGCCCACCCGCCCAACCAGAACCTGGCTGAGTAGCTGCAGCAAGTGGGGGATTTCTGCCCTGGAGTGGGATTTGGGACAAGGGGGCTGAGCCTACATGCGGGGTGCAGGGGGGACCAAGCACCAATTACAGCAGAATGGAGGGCCCCACCCTTCCACTGCCCTCGCAGCCTCCTTTCCCAAGCACAGGCGCCTTCCCTCCTCCCGAGGGGAGCCTGAGCTTCGGGCTCCATTGTCCATTGTCTCAGCCACGCTGGTTGGTCACAGGGGGCAGGAGCCCACGTAGACCAGTGCCCCCAGCTCCCTGAGGCAGGGCAACAGAGGGGACCAGGCAGTCCTGGTGCAGATGCTTCCTGGGGCTGACCCTCCCCGGCCTGAGCAGAGATCTGGTCTCTCCGATTCCAGCCAGAGCCTTTTCCTGAGCTCGCAGGGTCTTGGGGACCTCAGTTCTCCTCTTCAGTGAACAAGAACATGGAGAGGTGCCTGCAAATCTCTGCCCCACAGCAGCTGGCCTGTGTGGTCCCCCAGTGCACACATGCGACCACCAGCACCTCCTGCGGCACCCCTGCCTGCCTACCTGGCAGTGCCGATGTTCCGATACTGGCATAGCAGCAGGTGCCTGAATGTCTTTTTAAAGGTCGCGTTGCAGAGGGCGTAGCAGGCAGGGTTGATGGTGCTGTTGACATAGCAGAGCCAGTAGCCGATGGACCACACCGTGTCAGGGATGCAGCTCTGGCAGAAGGTGTTCACCAGGACCATGACGTTGTAGGGCGTCCAGGTGAGGATGAAGGCCAGCAGAATGGCAAAGATGGTCCGTGTCACCTTGCGCTCCCGGGCCGCCATCTGCCGCTTCTTGCGCACCTGGTTGCGGGCGATGCTGGCAAATTTGCGGGCCACGTTGGCCGCCGGACGCATGCCAGCTGGCGTGGCAGGCACAATCTCGATGGCTGTCACACACTCGTTGCCTGTCTGCTTCGTCACAATCTGGATCTTGGACCATTTGGAGGCAGGGTTGAGGGCCCGTGGCTGTAGGCAAGGGGCGGGCGTGGCAGGCGTGGTGGCCTCTGTGGTGGACAGCTCGGTGGGTGGTCGTTCCTTGGTGTTCTGGGTGGCACTGCCCGAGCTGGACTCATTGGAAGTGTCCTTGTCAGCCATTGGACGTGGCGGGGGTGGCAGGACCGGCGGAGGGGCCTCCTCTAGCTTCCCGTTGCGCAGCCCCTCCCGAGTGGCTTCCCCTGGTGGGGGTTTCTTTACGCTCTGCTTCATCAGGGGGCTCTTGAGGAAGGCCAGCGTCTTGGCTTTCTTCTCCTTGGGGCCCTCGGACCGGTGCTTGTGAACTCGGCTGCGACTGGCCAGGGAGATGTGAATATAGAGAACGGTCATGATGACCACGGGCAGATAGAAGGCAGCGATGGCCGTGCCGAAGGTCACCGCCGGGTTGGACAGGAACTGGATGAAGCACTGGTTGTCCGGCACTGTCCGCTTGCCCACCACAAACTGCCAGAACAAGATGGCAGGTGCCCAGAGCACGAAGGACAGGACCCAGGCAGCGGCGATCATGAGGCCTGCCATCTTGGTGGTGCGCCGGGCGGGGTAGGTGAGAGGCTTGGTGACGCAGAAGTACCGGTCAAAGCTGATAATGAGGAGGTTCATGACCGAGGCATTGCTCACCACGTAGTCCAGGGCCAGCCACAGGTCACAGACCACGGCGCCCAGAGGCCAGTAGCCCTTGATGATGTAGACGGTGTAGAGGTTCATGGAGAACGCGCCGATGATGAGGTCGGCGCACGCCAGGCTGAAGAGAAAGTAGTTGTTGACTGTCTGCAGCTGCCTGTTGACTTTGATGGACAGCATCACCAGGATGTTGCCCACCACCGTCACCAGGCTCAGGGAGCCTGTCACCGTGGCGATGAATACCATCTCCACTGTCTCGTAGCGGTTATGGGTTGATGTGACCAGGCGCACAGACTGGTTACCCGAGCTGCCATTCACTGGTGTGAAGTTCGCCATTTTGCTTAGCCGTCGGGGGCGTGGGGGGGCCGTGTCTGGAGGAGGAAGGAGAGAGAAGGGCTGAAGTGCCAAGGTGGATTAGAGGGGTCACGTGGGGTGAACTGGATCAAGGTGACAGCGGAACAGCATCCTGCAGAACCTTAGAGAACTCGGTCCCGTCACTTCCTCCTTTATTCATTCGTTCCCCATTTGTTGAGTGTGAGCACTCAGGGTGCGCACAGTGTTCGAGGTGCTGGGGTTGCAGAAGTGAATGAGACACGCATGGAGGTTACAATCCACTCAGGGGAGCCATACCAACACGCGAGCAACAGAGAAAGTGCTAGAAAGGAAACAAGGCAGAGCGGTGGTATGGTGAGGACCCACAGGGGTGGTTCCTCGCTGGGTGATCAGTGAAGGCCTCTCCAAGGAGGTGATCTGCAGGATGGCAAGGAGGGAGCCATATGAAGAGCTACAGAGGTGGCCTAGTGGGTGGCAATGGCGGGAGCAAAGGCCCTGGGCATGTGTGAGGCATGGACAGAAGCCCAGTGAGGCTGGGGCCCCAGGAAGTGAGGGGGAGGGGAGGAGTGGTCCCAGGGATCAGCATGGGGCTCTAGTCAGAAGTGTTCATTCTAACCACTCTCTCTCGGTCATTTCTTAACCAAACATGACCTGGGGATCTGTTCTCAGTCCCTACCGAAGACACTGAGGACAGAGGCAATTATATCAGCAGGTGACATTTACTGTCTCCTAAGTGCCAGGCACTTTCTACACTTTTTATAAGTACTAACTCATTTCACCCTCACAACAGACTTATGAAGTAGATACTGCTATTTTTCACTACTTACAAATGGGGAAACTGAGGCACAGAGATGTCAAATAACCTGACCAAGGTTCCACAGCTCCTTGACGTCATGTTGCTGTCCCAGAGCTGTCCCTTTGGGCAGAGGGAAGCCCAAAGAGCCACGGGAGCCAGTGACCCCACCTGGGGGAAGGCTTCCTTGAGGACCCGAGGTGGCATGAAGCTGAGGACATCCTGGAGGAGGAGGAGAGTGCGTGCCACTGTGGCATCCCTTCCCTGAGCCCTCACCCCTGCCCCAGCGCATGGGTAGCTGGGGACTGTCAGCAGCCAGGGGCTGAGACTCATGAGGAATCGTGAAGGGCCCACCAGCTGAGGAAGGACAGACATGGCTTCCCAAGGGCCAGGGTCTGCCCCGGCCGGGCCTAACAGGGACCCCAAAGGGTGAAAGAGCATCCCAGAGGGGAGAGAGGGGCTGCTACGGGGGAGCCTTTGGCTGGCTCCTGAGGGTGCCCCCTGACCCACCAGTGCACACAGATGGCACCCCAGCTCGGGTCCCCCAAGCGCGAAGCCCCTCCCCCTGAGCCTGTGCTCCCTCCCACCACGCTCTCCTCCATCCCGGCTCCCCTTCCTCTCCCATACATGTGAGGGAGGCCCACGCCCGTTGCGCTGTGCCAGGGCAGCCGCCCAGCCCAGGCTCCTTCACACCCGCCAACACGCACACCATTACACACACGCACACAGGCCCCATCACAGCCGCACCAGCCCCGCAGCGCGCTGTCGTATAGACGCAGTTCTGTGCGTCTGTGTGTGAGAGAAAGAGGCAGGGAGAGGCAGGGGCGTGTGGAGGAAGGCGCACTCACCCGGCCACCCAGGCTCCAAGGCCAGCGGCGGCGGCGGCGGCGGCGGCGTCTAGCCGTGTGGCCTCAGACGAGCCACCTCGCTTCCTGCACTTCTCTTTCCCAGAAAGGACTCCTGTCCTGGGACAACCTCCCGAGCAGCTATGGGGATCAGCAACTGAAACTCCATCTCCAGCAGGAAAATGCCCTGGGGGCTGGAGCCAAGAGCCAGCGTGACCCCCCAGCCTGGCCTCAGCCCCCTTGATCCACCATCGCAGATACAGTCCCACCCTCCAGGTGGGCCTGGCAGTTCAAGTCCGCCTGCCAAATCCTTGGTTCACAGGAGGAGAGGCTCAGAGGGCTAGCCACCTCCAAGGTCACAACTGAGTCAAGGGCAAAGACCAGGTACCCCCCTCTCCCCAGATTTCTGACAGCCCCTTTCAGCTCTGAGAGCCTCTGAAATGGAAGCTCACCCTCGGGGCAGGGAGGGCAGAAGCGGCCGGCAGGGAGAAGCCGCCCTCCCCAGGCCCAGGCAGGCGGGGGCTAGTGGGGGGCAGTGATCTGTCCTCCAGGCCCAAGGAAACCCTCGCTTTCACCTCCTGGGGCCAGGACACAGGCCAGTGAGATCAGAACGGGGCTGGAGATGCCAAATCGGAAAAACAGAATAGGTCTTGTTTATTGACTGTTAACTATGAGTCAGGAATCCCTCTGAGCTTTTTATATAGATTATCTGGTTTAATCCTTACAGCAGCCAGAAAAGGCAGGCACGATCGGATCGGGAGCCTCATTTTAGGGACGTGTCTTCTTACAGATGAGGATGATGTTAATTCACTTGCCCAGGGTGTGTAAGTAGGGGCGGGGCGGGATTAGAACTCAGGAGCCACCTTCTCAACCCCAAGGTGCTACTGCCTCCGAGTTGATTTCCTGCCTCAGCTCTTCCTCTATCAAAACCACACAACTAGGGGTCAGTCAAGTGAGGCCTGGGGACGTCCCCTCCCATTCCCTGCCAGCTCCCCCGCTTAGTTTTCCCAGAAGAGCAGAGACCTCTTGCCTCCATTGGAGACATCTTGTCTCCAAGGAGGTGGCAGGTTTAGTCCCGCTCTGCCCGCCTGGGGAGCTGCCAGCTGCAGACTTGGCGAGGCATAGTGTCCCCTGGCCCTCACCCCAAGCATGTTTCTGGATGACTCCGGGTCTCCCGCAGGTATTCTGACTGCAACCCTGTCTGGCATGTTCTCTATGATCCAGGCCGCCTGAGATCTGGGGAGGCGAGCAGCCGCCGCCCTGGGCTGTGCCTACCGCTAGATGGCAATGTCGGTCCCCGGGTGCCAGCTGCGGACCCAGGACAGGCGGCGGCTCCTCGCCACCGCCCCCAACTCCAACGCGACGGCAAGCACAGAGCAGGCCCCCGGCAGGGCCTTCCAGGGAGGGACATGAGGTCCCCTCGCCAGGCCCCGCCCAGGAGCTGCCTTCGGCTCCGCGCAGGGTTCAACGGTGGGAAAGTTAAGGGGGCCCGGATTTCCACCCGGCCCCCGGCGAAGAACGTGTGGGAGGGAAGGCGAGTGCGAGTTCTGTTTGTGTGTGTGATTCCTGGGGCGCGCGAGTAGAAGCTAGTAGCTGTCTGCATGTGCGTGTGTGTGCGCTCGGCCACGCCTGGATACCAGTGTGAGCTCGGGGGCACGTGTGCATGCCCGCGCCATGCGGACACGTGCATGTGCATGCGTGTGGGTGCCTGGAGTGCTGTGGCCTGGGGGATACACACGCTTCGAATGCGCCTGTACCTGTGAGCTTGTGTACACAAGCAAATTCGGGGCCGACAGTAGGTGACGGGGCCACATTCCAAATGCCCCTGCCGGAAGATTCAACCCAGACCTTGGCTGTCTGAGCGCGAAGAAGGTCGGGCCAAGAGCCAGTGTCTGGATGGCGCCCCGCCTGTGGGTGAGGAAGGGTCCCAGGCAGGACCACAGGGCCAGACTACACTGTGGGGCGCGACAGGCCCCCTGACCTGGGGGCATCGTCACAGCCGAGCGCGCAGTGGTGTCCGCGACCCCAAAGCTGCGGTGCGGAGTCCCAGCCTCAGGCTGACTTCTGTCGAGGAGCCGCTGCTAGAGTCGCCCGACCCGGCGCTGCGGGACACTAGGCTCAGCTCTGCGTGCCCACTGCGCGTTATCGCCAAAGGGCGCCCAGGCTGCGGGCGGGAGAGTGCGGGCAGCACCCCACAACAGGGAGGCCCGGCGGGGGCTTGGGTCAGGCGCGTGGAAGATTCTTCCCCTCCCACACTCCTAATCCTGCACCCCGCCGGAGAGGCACCGTCTGGCTCCAGCGGCTAGAGTGGGCACCCGAGTTCTCAAGCCCAGGCTTGGGCGGGCCTCGAGGGCCAGGTTGGGAGTCATTACTGGACCCCTCTGGAGGCTCCTCCACATCTCCGTGGCGGTGGATGGGGCCCCGTCTCTCCGGTGCCCCGCCCTCCCCCAACCCCCTAGCACGCAGTTCCTGCAGCCTCTGGGCGTGGGCACCGTGCTTTCCTGGGTCCTCGAGCCCCTCCTTTCCCGGACCAGACGGGAGCGCGTGCTCTGGACGCCGTGGGGGCGGGGGCTGTGGGGTGTGAGTCCTCGGTTCTTAGGCTTTCATTCTGGGGCTCCGGAAGGCTGTGGCCCTTGGATCTGTCCCTGGGGCTGGAGACGAGACTCAGGAGTTCAGGGAAGGGAGAAGGGGCGCAGGCGATTTGGCACAGACATTGCGCCTGACACTTCCGCCACGGGGCTCGGGGTTTGGCGCTGGATCTCCCGGGGTCTGAGCCTGGGGAACAGCTAGGGGTGGTCCTGGAGTGGGGGAGGGGCGCCAGGAGAGGGCAGGGGTGTCTTCTGTCGGGGTTCAAGGTCGCTGATGGAGGACTCCATGGACCGGAGTGGGCTGGCAGCGCCGGGAGGGGCAGGGAGACGGGCGGGAAAAACGCTTTTGGGGCTGCAGCGCCCGGCGCCCCGCAGAACTGCCAGTGGGTGGGCTGGAGTGGGGGGTCCCGCCCCCGACGGCTGCCCCTGGCTCTTTGGGGGCTGTGGGCGGGCACACCCCCCGACCTCCTGCATGTCCGTTCCTTCCCGGAGATGCACCTGGGGAAGCCTCCGAGAGACTCCGGGCCTTTCTTCCAGCGGGGCCCCTCACCCCCGGGCCCTGGGCAGCTCCCAGCACCGCGCTCGCCCCCGAGGAAGCCTGGGGTCCAGTCCCAGGCGGACCCGCCTCCGGGGAGCCTCAGAGGGTCCAGGAGCCCCGCGTCCTTCTCCCCCAACCTAGTCCCCCCGCCCCCGCGCCGCGGCGGAGTCACTTACCAGACACCTCCGCCCCGCTCCCCTCGCACCTGACAGACGGCGGGACAGGCGGGCGGCCCCACGGGCCAGCGGGCGGGGCGGGCGGCCGGGCCGCGGGCCGGGGGCGGGGACGGGGTGCCGAGGGGCGGCCCCTGCTCCGCCCGCAGCTCCCGGCGCTGTGGCTCCGACTCGCGCTCACGCTCGCACTTTTCTCCGAGCCGCGTGATGTCACGGGGAAGCAGCCAATCCTGGAGGGGCCGTGCCGCCCGCCCCGGGCCGGCCACCCAACGGCGACGCGCGGGGGGCACCTCCCGGGGCGTCGGGGACCCCAGCTACGCGCGCCCCTCACTGGAACCGGCCGGCTGCTCCCCGCTCGGTCACTGTGGGGGCACCGCCCACGGTCGCCAGGGCTGCTTCGAGGGGGGCGCTGCCCTGCCGGGATGCAGGGGGGTGGGGTGTCCGCGTTGTCATGGGGACGCGGCGCCCCCTCGCGGGCTGGGGAAAGAGCTGGCAGCCCCGTCTGGCTGCGCTCCCCGCCTCCGCTCTGACCAAGCACCAGGGACCGCGAGGTGGTCTCGCGCCCGGCCAGGATCTCACTCCTTACGTGGCCCGGCTCGGAGCTGGATCGCGGAGGCGCGGGTGTCTGACCCCAACGGGAGGCTATGGTGGGTGGGGTCGGCCCTGCCGCCACGGTTCCGTCGGGGCAGGGAGCCGGGGGCCGGCAATTCCCAGCCTCGGGGTTGCGTGTTGGCCGCCGGGCAGGCCGAGGAGAGGGGCGCCGTCGGGGCCTGGGAAGGAGCTGCAGAGAGCAGGCAGGCGGCGGTCCGCCGGGAAGAGAGGAGCCCGCCCCCCGCCCCCGCCGCCCGGTTCCCTGCTCCCGCGCTCCAGGCCGGGGAAAGGGTGTGCATCCGCTCTCCCAGCCCCGGGACGGGACACGCTGCCTGGAGGGCGACTTCGCCGATGCCCGAGAGAAAACCGAGTGTCCAAGGTCACTGGGGGCGGAGCCCGGAACGAGACCCGAGAGGGCGAGCCGCCCGTCCCTTGAGGTCTCCGGGAGCCGCACGGGCCGGAGCCTCGGGACTTGGGGCCTTGCGTGCGCGGAGCGGGAGGGCCCGGGAGTCCGCGGCTGGGGCGCCCCCGGGACCCAGAGCCCAGCGGCTTCAGCACCTCGGAGAGCTCCGCCCCCGCCCTGACCCCGGCGGCTCGCTCCGCCCGACCAGGCACCGGCGCTCCGGCTCCCGGAGACCGCCCTTCCTGAGGCCGGCCAGAGGCGGACTCGCCCCCACGCCCCGGCCCCCAGGCCTGTCACCCCAAACTCTCTGAGCGCGGACACCCGATTAACCTTAAGAAGCTGGTTCCTTCTCTTGGAAAAACAACTCAAGTCCCACCCCTCCTTCACCCTCCCCCAAGGCCCGGGCGGGGGGCTGTGTCTGTGGAGGCGGGTATGGCAGTGGAGGGGAGGCGGCAGAGAAGGGGCGGGAACTCAGGCAAGAGCCAGCGCACTGGGATCTTGGGGTGGGAGGGGCTGCAGGCTGAACGCCGAGGTGGTCAGGTCCCCCGCCCGGTGCTTCAGAGGGGAAGGGCTGGAGTCGGCTGGCTGGGCTAGGGTGGGAAGCCATCATTTTTACATGAATGCTCTGGTCTCCCGTGATCCTCGTAACCAAGGATGAAAGAAGCGCTATTGTTCTTGCCCCCACTTCACAGATGAGGAAACAGGCTCAGCTGGTTCCTGTCACAGTCCTGCACTTGTTCCACCTTGCCACCTCCCTCCTAGGGTCCCGGAGAGAGGGGGTGCCCCAGGAGAGTGGAAGTGGGTGTGCGCAAGCAGGGTGAGGGCCAGGCCATATTCCTAACAACAGTCAGATGGGGAAACAAGCAAGATCAAGGACTGGAGGGCACAGAAAACAGGAATGTCTCCAACCACTGCCTGGAGTTCTTCCAGAAGCTGCCAGGCAAAGCTGCTCCAGTTTCTCCGAAATCCCTGCTTTGGCCTGGGGCCTTCGGCCTCCCCCAATCCCAGAACCCACAGTGGAATTGTGGAGAGCTGACCTGGGAACCGGGGGACCTGGTTTAGTTTTTGTTCTCTCCATTGGATCCAGCTGGTCTAGAGAACTTCTCTGAACATATTTCCTCACCTCCAAACGGGATCACCAAGCTCTGCCTTGCTGCCCCCATAACCTTATGACATGCAAGGGGATCCCCAGAAAGCTTTACTACTGGGGAGGCTCCATCCACCAGGCAAGGGCTTTCTAAGGGAGGGGTTGGCGTGGGGACAGGAAGGGGCTGACAGGTGCCTCCAACAGATGGGAGCTGGCTTCATCCTTGGCCAGAGAGGGCAGAACCGAGGCCAGCCAGCACTGAATTTGGATCACCTCATCCACAAGGGCCTCCTCATACCCCTGTTTCCAAAATGAAAGGGCAAGTCAGGGTCCCAGCTCGGTTCAAACCCTGGCTCCACCCATTAGTTGCGTGGTTGAGGGTAACACCAGCACCCACCTCAGAGGGTTTTTGTGATGAGGACTGAGATGGTATACACCAAGTCCTTGGTACATGGTTTATACTCAACAAATTCACAGTCCACACCGTCAGACCAAGGAATTCCTCCTCCTGCTGTGGGGAGACATGGGTGGAGGGCAGGGGTCGCAGTGGGGCGACCGCCTCCTCCATCCATCAACGCCTGGCTCAAACCTCACCTCTCCAGGCTCAAATGACTCGAGAATATAGAGCTGGAGATAATGTGAAGAGGTTGCACAGTACAAGCCCTGCATCCTACAAGGGAGGAAAGTGAAGCAGAGAAAAGGCAAGTGGCTTGCCCAAGGTCACACATCTAGCTGATATGTCTTTTAGTTACGAGTCCCGTTATATTTAATTTTCCAGAAAATTCTAGTGTTCCTAACTATATGGCTCTTCACACTGCTTTGTTTTACTTGCTTGCCCATTTAATCTTTTAGTTTTATCTCTGTTGGGGCAGAATCTATAATTCTGTGTGCCCTATGGTGTCTGGGACAGAGGTGGGCACACGAAAGACACTCAAGAAGTACTTAGTGCTGACCAAAAGCCCTGTGTGGCTCTGATTGTCCTTTACGCTAAGAGTTGGGGCCAATATCCTCCTCATACCTTCTAACTGGCTTGAAACTTGACATGGCCAGGGCCACGAACACAGCAGGCCCTTTAGTCACTGTACTGAGAACACAAGTAAAAGGAGCCCTGATAGCCAGCAAATGGCATCTCTGAGGGATGCCTGTAGACAAGACCAAGCCCCCTGCCCGGCCAGCCCAGACACCCATTGTGGGTGGGCTCCCAGGACTGGAGGGGATCCAGCTTTTTGGCCAGTTACATCCTCACTCCAGGCCTACAGTCCTGGGTAGAAAGCCATCAAGATGAGCAACCTTCTGTCATTCCTACCTACCCACCCGCCACTGTCACAGCTGTCCCAATGCTTGGCAGGCCCCCAGGAAGCAGGAGGTGGTGGCCCAGAGAAGCTGCATGAAGCAGAGCTGCAGCCCACACCCAAGCAGCTTCTGAGGCGTCAGATAGGGCTCCCGACCTAGGACGGCAGCACGAGAAACGGGGCCCGGGAGAACCCGGGCCCGGCGCAGTTCACGACTCTCCTCTCCCCACAGCCACCACCCCACCTCCACCCTCCGCAGAGACAAACAGAGACGAGCCTGGTGAGGGGCATGTCATCATTTTAATGATGTAGATCTTTGGTGTTTCCCTCATTAGCAGTCAGACTATCCCCTCTCCTCCCACCACAATGTTTCTATGATGAGCTACAAACAGAAAAGAAATCACATTTTCATACTAAAAACAAAATAATCAGAGCCTTGATTTCTCCACTAGAAACTACACGTACAGTTCAAGATTCCACATGCAACACCTTAAATCACAGACCAAGACCTCACATTCTGACCTGGAGTCTCATCCCCTCCCCCAGCCTTGGGCTGGCTTTGGCCTAGGCTCAGGTAATACTGACACCCATGGGTGCTGCTGAGGGCCAGAGAGGGGGAGAGGAGCTTGGTGGACAAGCCCTTGGGGGCTGGCCAGCCTACACCCCGCACTCCTGAGTGAGGACCTGTCCACCGTCCCTTGGCCCCAACCTGTCAGGCAAGCAGGCTGCCCCCTTCACTCCATGCTTGTCCCCACTAGTAGGTGCAGGAAGTCCCCGTCCTCAGGCATCTGGGAGCCAGGCCTGACCCCGACTAGTCCTTGTGGGGTAAAATGATGGAAAGAGGCTGAAGCTCCAGAAGGCTCAGAGATGGAGGTGGCTTCTGGGGCCAGGCCACTCCTCCTGCTCTTGGGGTCCTAGTGGCTCTGCCCACGCAACAGGCGGTCAGGGCAAAGCTGCCCTACTGGCCACTGTCTAGGATGGTTTGGCCCAGCTCTGGAAGACTGTCCGCCTAGGGCTGACTCCTTGAGCCATGTTTCTGGCGGGGGTTCACGGCAGGGATTCTCACTTGCTCCTGCAGTCACACAGCACAGCAGTGTGGCTCCCCTGGGCTCCAGATCCTGGAAGGTTCTAGTCCCTGAGGCAAGCCTCGCCCATCCGACTGCCTCATGCCATGACTCCGGCTTCCTCTCGAGTGGCCCCCCCACGTTCCTGTCCCTGACGCAGCCCGCAGCTCTTCCGCGTGTCCCGTTCCCAGTCAGCTGTGAGGTCCGGCTTCTGCTCGGCGGCTCGAGGGGAGGCACCAGCGTGCGTCTGTCTCTACCTGTTCCGCGGCTCCCCACTGGGGCCTGCCGCCTCCCCCCTGCTGCTGCCACCACCGTCAGGAAGGTGGCGGGTACTGGTCAGCTCGCAGTGCAGGGTTGGTCCCTCAGTGCTGGGGAGGGGGACAGGGGGCGGGACAGGGGAGGAAGAGAGCAGGGTTGGCTGCGAGGGCTCCCGCCCAGGGGTACCAGGCTGGTCCCAGGAAGCTGTCCGGGGGCTCAGGCCCCGCTCTGCCAGTTGCCCAGGTTCTGGGAGCAGCCCCCGAGAGGTGGAGGGCTGCGGCGAGGTGGCACGGGCGGCGCCGGGCTCCGTGCCCGTCTGGGAGCTGCGGTGAATGCGGTGGCTGACGATGATGTTGTTGCCGAAGCCGCCCATGGAGGCCATGGTGGTGCTCTGCTCCCGCTGCACCACAGCCGTCATGCCCCCTTCTGCCATCAGCCGCTGGATCCTGCTGAGGGCGTCCTCCCCACCTGCACCGTACTCGGAGCCCTCACCTGGAGGGTACAAAGCAGAAGAGATAGGGAGTGAGCTGCTGGCCCGGGCCTCTGTGCCAGCTTGGGAAAGTGGAAACAAGAGGCTGTTCTCTCCTTCCGAGAATCAGAGACTCGAAAGCTAGACAAGACTCCTTGAACGATCCTAATCCACACTTCTGTTCACTGGTGGGGAAACGGAGGCCTGGGATGGCGCAAGGTGGCCAAGGCAGGCTTCTCAGCCAGTCAAGACGCAGAGCTGGACCGGAAGGCAGGTGTTCGGCTTGAACCCTTTCGGCACCAGCGGCAGGCTAGTCACTAAACGAACGACAGCGGCTGAGGATGGGGCTGACAGCTGGCTTGGGGAAGCCGGCAGACCGAGCCCGGGACCGGGTCTGCTGCCTGGTTGTTGGAAAGAGAGGGCGCCCACAGGGTGTGGCCCAAAGGCAAGGAACGAATGGTCGTCTCAGCTCCACTTCAAAGCTGTGCCATCTCCGCTCAGAGCTGTTCTGTTTGTTACTCCCTGAAAGCCCACAAGGCAGACAGGATCTTGGTGCCCTGGGAGGCGTTCTCTCTCCTCCTTCCCCCCTTTACCCACCAACTCCTGGGTTATTTCCCACGTGCTGTCTGCTGGGGCTGGTGCCTCATACCCTCATCTCTTGCCCAGGCCAGAGGCTT